TACCCCTAACAATAACCCATTAAGAAAGAAATTGTTAAAAGTTGTCGAAAGCTGTATTACAATTGTTGTATAACAATTTTAAAACATGTTGATTTAAACTTCATATTACAACAATGTTGATATAAGATTGAAACAATTTTAAAAATGTTTAACAATAAGTTTTTTGCAGTTGAAAAAAATAAGTTTCAATACCAGCTGTAACTGTTTTACAACAATTTTAAAATTGTTTTACAATCAGTTCAAATGATTCAAAATTCAAATGATTCAAATGATTTATTAGGCCATTCAGTTTGTACAGACAATAGGCTAAGTCAAACAATAACAATGCAGAAATAAACACATGCAGGATCTCATTTATATAAAACATGCAAAACCAATGCATGCATACTAAAAATGAAAAAAAATGAAAACTACAAAAAATAAAAAGTAAAGTTTTTTGAAGTTTAAAAAATAAGATTTAATACAAGTTGTAACTGTTTTACAACAATTTTAAAATGATATATTTTTAAATTAGGTATATTGAGTTTTAGGTACCTCAGCTAACGTCTATGACCTAAAACTAGAGTTTTTCCTTTTTTCAAAAAATAACATTTTTATTACTGTTTATTTAACCATTTTACATTGATATTTTGTATAACCCATAATGCTCATATGTGATACATTTTAGAGATATTTTGAATTTTATTTACCCGTATTGATGTCTATTGATTTATATTTACATCTAACATATTAAAAAAATATTCTCTATTGATATCAATGAACGATTTGTTTGCTCTAATGATCTATATTGATATATTTTATGTTTATAGATGTCTAGTGATATGTATTGACTAAGTTTTCAGTGATGTATATTTGTTTGTATTTACTTGTAATGATATCCATAAACATCTATTGATATCACTAAGCATCTAGTGATATCAATAGATTTTTTCTATTGATTTCTATTGATGTCTTCCACTAGGGAAACCGTACAACCAATGTAAATATTAAATTACAATAAAAGGCATAACCGTAAAAGTTGCGTTCAAAAAACAAGTGAAAGTGGGTCCGTATGTATTCACATAATAATTACAGTGTTGAGGGTTCACTACACAGTTTTTAAAATGAAAAATATACATCCCTCTCGTTTTCCTGCAGAACGCTGTACCTCAGCTCTTACCTTATATCATTGTACATTGTTGGAGTGTTCTGGATGGATCATGGATCCTACAACAGTGTTATGCTACATCCAGACACATACTATCTACGCTGGACCACCAGACTACCAGCTGTATCTGTCTGTCAGGCAGCAGGTTTTAACAGGTTCTTGCTATTAATTTACATTTTAATTAATAAATCTAATTATTCAATTTTACCTTAAGCAAATTGCTACTAGTTGATTCTATTCTTGAATTTAGTAGACTCGTTCTCATTCAAATCTGACTGGTTTAGACTTCTGTATCATCTCTCACACACACAGGCACGTTCACTTATTCCACAACCATGTTACAAACAAGTCTCGGCCTGTGTTTCTAGGGCTGTTGGTTGGCTGCATGGAATATATATATGTTTATATAGTGTACCCCAGATGTTGATTTTTTAATAAATATACTAGACCCAACACAGTACAAACTTAAAACTTCACTGCTGCAACAAGAACAAACGCTGTAAAAAATACCACCTAGACCCACTTGATTCCAACCAATCAGAAAAAAATTGTGGAACATAAAGTAAAAGTGTGTTTTTGTTAAAGTAATTTTACTTGCAAAACCATTTAATATTAATTCTTGACGTTTTGAAATGTTACATAAGCATAAGTAAAACTGAAGTAACTCTAGAGATAGGACAGTGTTTCTGTGTATATCTAAGCCATTAGAATTTTCTAACTGTACTTTTTTTGTAAGGTTAGGCTACAGCCACACAGGTTTTTTCATGTACTAAATACTCTATATTCACAGTGCTTGACTGCTTGAATTCCCGCTGGAAGGGTCACATGTGCGTTTTTATACATTGTGTTGGTATAATGCATTCATCATTGCCTCCAGGATTGATTTTTTTGACAATATCAAAATAGGTTTACATACTGCTGAACAGTTGACAATGAAACTGTGTTGTTTCGAAACTAGTCACAAACACTAAAAATTGCGATTGATGGATGTAATCGAGGTATGTAAACCTATTTTTATATTGCCAAAAATTAATCCTGGAGGAAATGATGAATATGTTATACCAACCCAATGTAAACCTATTTTTATTGTATGGTAGCTTATTTTTGCACTGGTTAAAGACCAGCAGCGACTGGTGCATTTGGATTATGTTGCATTTCTTCCTTATGGCAGTTTTTGAATAGTTAAAGAAGAAGAAAAATGAATCCATTAAAAACAAGTCTAAACAAAAATTCAGTAAATGCCTTTTAAACATTAGGTACTTAAATTTTAAACTAATTTCAATATTAAAATCAGTCATGCTGTTTAAGTAGTGATCTTGATGTAAATGCAATGGACTTCTCAGATCCATCCTTATATTCACACTTCAATAATGGTGCTTTTTATAAGGTGCTTTTTACCAAATTGGCACTGATAAATGCCACATAATTTTCTCAAAACAAAGGAACATAAGCAGTGCATTCTTTTTGAATTATTTTTAATACTGTATTTTTAACCTATATGACCATTTTTTTTAAATTTTTAACCACTATGACCAGGTTAAAATTATTTTTATAGTTCTTCGCTTCATTTGAACACCAAAGACGAGCTTGATTTTGTCCTTGGACTCATAAAACCAAGAAATCTCTTATGCAGAAAGTGTAACAGCATATTTCCAAAGTTAACGCCAACTTCAGGATTTCACCAGCTTGCACTTGATGTAAGTTACATAGTAAAAGTAGGAACCTATATTTATTCATACACTTTTGTGGAAACTAAAATTAATGGATAAGTTTGATCTTACAAACATTTATTTGGTTTGAAGAGTTGAATGAGAAAATAGTAAATGTTGTTTATACATGTGTCAGTAAAATTACAAACGTTTCTCCACAGATTATTAATATTATGTATACAGGCCTAAATGGGGTGTTATATGCACCAATATTATGGAAAATGAGGAATGATTAAGAAATGTTTATTCACACTGCAAATAGAATAACCAATAAAGTGGACTATATAACAGCATCACCTCGCTTGTTAGGACAACAATTTCAGAGACAGCGAGGGAGGGTCGGTTTTAGTTCCTTCGTAAGAGAACAGTTTGGAATGACTTTCTTAAAGCCGACAAGTGTCCTTAGCAAGAATGTGTAACTCAATTTGCTACTTGGAAATTCTAAATTCTATTCTACATATGAATGATGACAATTGTAACAACCTTTTACAGTCTTAATGTGAAGCATTTTTCCCCATAAATTTGTTACAGATGATTGCAAGCTGTAAAGAACTTCTTCACAATTGTAGTTTCAATGGAAAAAACTTTGACTGCTGTGAAAGATTTCAACTGTTACAAACAAAGAAAGGGATCTGCTATAGTTTTAATTCTGAGATGACAATGTAAGGCTTATTAAATAAGTTTTCCTTTTATAAAAATGCCTTAAGCTTACAAACATGCTGTCAATTTGTTTTTTCGAGTACCATAAACAAACAAACACATGTTCCAAGACACTAAAATGACCAATTCATTGATTAGCAGAAATAAAATTTTCAAAAATACGTAATATGCTGATTGGGAATTCTACATTCTACCATTGGTTAATTATATTCCCCTTTGGCCTCAATAAATAGTCTTATCATCCTTACGGATCAACTGAAGAACTGAAGACAAATTTAGTAAATGTCCGTCATGTTTCAGTGTGTTGAAGTATTTTATTTTTCAAAATTAAAACCTATGTTTATAGCTCCTGAGCTGTTGGATAATGTAAGATTAAATTACTTAGGCGATTCCTACCAAATTTTTCAAAAACAATGAGCGTGTTCTGGAAACACTAACCGGTGTAGCGGTACAGGACCGGTGCAAAAAATGTGTCGTTTTGGGAGACCGGTGAGTTTACCTGGCAGACAGCTATTTCCTGTTTTTTCCTCCACCGGTGCAAGATTCATGCACCGGAGAAATTGTACGGTGCATATACACCAGCGGCCTTTGATATTGATCAGTTTCTTGGACACCAGTCTGTAGCTACGGCTGATTGCAGTTCCATAGAATAAATGATCAATTGTTTATCAGTTTGATAGATTATATTACGTAATAAGTGAATAATATATCAATAACTTATTCTGTGAGGGCAAGTTTGTTCAATTTTAATATTATTAAGTAAATAGTAGGTTGATGTGTAAATTACAATCCGATGAGCACCATTCAGTGACTAACCGTTCTGGGATCCCAAGACTCTTGCCTTGAGGCAGTACCAGTGAGTAAGTCACCGGATCATCTATACCTGTGCACCAATACATATTCCCAGAATGCACCCAATATGCTTACCCAGGGCATTTTTCAGTGTTATAACTATAACATTATTTATAAACTAACTAGTCAATGTCGCCATACAGGAGTTAGGACTAGCTGGAATAGTTGTGAAGTGCCGGTATCAGTATAAAGGCGAAACAGCTGATCTTAGTCAGTAACAAAGCTACACAGATCATCTCACACCATTCTACACTCATCCTTCACTCATATTTGGGTTAAAATATGCACCTAGGTGGCGTCCCCATCTCAATGATTGATAATTGATAAGCTTGATGCTTACTGGGTTGGGACTCGAAAGACCCTAATTTGCGGACAACCCTCATGTGTTTATTATCATATACAAAAATAATTAAATATAGACCGCCGCTTGGAGCACCATGTAGTTACGGCGTACGTGCTACGTAAACTACAGCGGTGTGCGCCGGAACCTATGGTAACCATGGTAACCACAGCACGGCTGACAGTCTATATTTAATTCTTTTTGTCTATGTTATTATTTAAGCCTTAAATTGATGTATTTTCATCTAATCAACATGCAAATTACACATGTTTTGTTTAGAAATCCCTTCAAAATGTCAGTCAGCCAATTTGCAAAAGATGCTGCTCTGCACTTTTCTGTAAATTTCCCAGTTCAGGTAAGTTTTCTATTTTACTAGGGGACCATAGCAGCAATTACTGCTTTTTAGTTTTGTATACAAATTGAAATTATTCAACACACTTTTTTACATATTTAATCACCGTATTCCCCTAACACAATACATTTTCAACACCATTCTAACCTAAAAATAGGACACTAATAGCATAAACATACAAATATGCAATGTTTACATCAGCTGGTATATTTAAAACAGAGAAATTTGTATGCCTTAGAATGATATAGCTGGGCTGGGTATTTACTGTTTAGTGTTTAGGGTTCACCTAACAATCAGAAAGTCACTGATTCTGTACTTAGAAAATTCAGTAGCTTTTACCGAATTTCCCTACAGGGAAGTAGCTATTACCATAGGACTCATGGTAAGACTTGAGCCCGGGACCAATTTACTTTTTAATTTTGATTTCCCTAGAGGCCAAAAACACTATTCGTTCAAATTTTTATATATGTACATATATATATATATATATATCTATAGCCTATATATATATTGTGTCCGTGAATGCGATAACTTGAGTAATTTTTGTTTGATTTTGGTGAAATTTGGTTTGAAGGTGTAAGGCGGGATAAACTTGAATGAGTTTGTGAGCCAGCATGATCGGGCGATGGAGACGGGGTTTTATGTAGCAGCAAACCTATAGGTACTCGTTTAACCTATAATGTTATTTAAATAGATTTAATTATGTATATCAGTTCAGGCAAATGGAAATTCGCTTAGTCTGCAGGTTTGCTGTGACGGGGATATTTGATGGCTTAAAACTGGGCCCAGCTCAGCTACATTGGGATTATATAATAAAATGTCCTGGCTAATGAAACAACTGATCTTAGTCAATAACAAAGCTACAGCACATTCACTAAAAACTACACAAAGTGTGTTGTTGTCTACTGAAATTATTAGAAAAGATCTAGTCCTATTGTTTTGTATATTTAAAAACCTAATTTGTTCACAGCATAGGATCAAAATTATAATGCTTTTCTAAAATCTGCGAGGATTTAGTTGATGCAGATCTTAAAGCCACCTAATGTTTGGGCCATGTGAATAAAAAGAACTGCTATTGTATTTTGTAACAAACTCTGATTTTTATTATCTGTTCTCTTGTTGAGAGCGATTGATTCAAAAAATTAAATTTGAAGAAAGAGCTCTGAGCAAACGCAACAGAATGTTTGTAGTCGGCTGTTAACATGGATTTTTGACTACTGATAAATCAAATCAACTTTTTTCTCTTTATAAACTTGTAGTTTACGATTGATTACATCTAGGTATTATTGCATTTCTGAGTGTGTCTAGTGGTTGGAGTCCATGCCTTCCCTCCTAAAGGCACAAGGTTCTAATCCCGCCAATCACCAATGGTTTTGACCTGAAAGATAATGCCGAAAAATGGTGATTTGGAGCTACCTGTGAGCTGTAGGTTCACAGTAACAAGATATCTCTCTGTATAGAAATTCCTCCACTAAAGGAATTTCCAGCTTATTTTGTCAGTTTAGAGTTAAGTATAACATGATTTAACATTGTAACTAACTAAAGAATACATTTCTTAGCAGTATTTTTCCATATCCATAACACCTGCTGCTACTCAAGTGTTTTGTAGGTGTTTATTCACGATGTCAAAGAAGTGATGTTTCTAAACAGCAAAGCCCCAGTCTTAGACCCTGACAGCTCTCTAAGGTTGCTCTACAGTGTGAGAGAAACTGTGGTGGACATTTCAGCAAGAGAGCTCTCTACTGAACAGAGGTATCCATACAATCTTGTATGTTTATGATTTTATACAGGCGTTTATAAAAAAGTTTTAACAATTAATTTTTAGTTTTAGAATTATGTATAAAACATATCATAAACACTCTCAGGTGTTGGGGTTTTCACAATTAAAACCTCTCAGTATTTCCATGAGAATCTTGTTTAGGCAGCAGAACTTCTGAGAACATCAGTATTGAGAGGTGTAGTTGCACACGTCTTTACAAACTTACTTTAAAACTAAACAAGGAAATGTATGAGTCAAGAGATTCAAGAGATTTATTGTACCATTAAGTAACAAATACAATAGGTAACATCAAAAACTATTCTAAAATAAACAAACCAATGCATAATAAATAATGAAATGTTCATCATTACAAACCATGCTGAAAATTGGTTAATTTTCCTCGCCCACTGTACATGTAAGCCTGCTCTTCCTGTCCAAAACAAAATCAAACCTTTTCTGGCATGGATACATTGATCATGTGCATTTAATACACTTCGATACTTTCTTTAAGAGCCCCTTATGTAATGTTTCAAGAGGGTGTGTGGTGGAGGGGGAGAGAAGTGTCCAAGGTTACCCAGTGTACAGTCGCAGCAGCTGTCAGACGGCTTGTCTAGCTCAACATCAGCTGTCTGTGTGTGGCTGTCATCATCACCTGCTACCAACACCAGGTCAGGTAGCATTAATCTATATTTCGTTTTTAAATCAAACTTACAGCTATTTTAAATAGATATAGTAGATCCTCGTTTACACCACACCTCCAACTACAAGGGCACCTTAAAAGTCCCCTTGAAAGTGCTGTTTTATTAAACTAAACCTTTAAACATGACAATTTCATTCAAAACAACCTCAGTAACACACCTTTTTTCTAAATCACGAAGCAATTCAGAACCTTTTGAGAAGTCAGCCTTAATAAATAACAGTCGTTACGAGAATTCACCAATATGTATGTTTTGGAAAAAACTCCATAAATTCAGACTCATAGGTATTAAAACAAGTCTGGGCTAACGCAAAAATTTATAGTCAGTACAAATAGATAGGAGGTACAGTAAGACCCAGACCCAGGACCGATTTAATTTTATGTCCCCATAGAAGCCAGATCACTATTCGTTCAAATCCTATGATGCCATTGTCCTTCAATGTCACTGGTAAATCTTGCCACTGATAAGTCATTTTATGGTTCTGGTCAATCATTTGCATTCATACTCAGTTTAAATATGTACACAAGTTACACAACAATTATTGGCTTTTTTAGTGAAGTTTGAAGTGATCTAACATCAACTTGTTCCTAGAAATCGTCATAAATAGCATTACCAACACCTTTACATGAAGGTTGTTAAAGTGAAATCGATGAAGGTATTTATGCATAACCAACTCTGTCAATGTGTCAATTATTTTATTGATTACAGATAACTCCAGGTATTGTGACCTGAAAGGACTTCAGTGTATAGATGACGATTTCAGTAAGTCCCCTGTTGGTTATATTTAAAAAGGAATTTAAAACTGAAAAAATGTAGCCTACAGTCACCATAATATTTATTATTGGGATAGTTTAAAAGTTTACTGAAGACATAATATTTTTGATATTATTTTATTTTGTATGACCTTTAAACCAGGACTCTAAATTTTCTCATATAAGCTAGCCAAACTTTGTGTCCCATAAAAACTATTAAATCAGTCCTATGGCTTTTCTTTAAAATCTGTATAGTGTAGCTCAAATTGTTTTGGACTGCCTAAATTAAAGGTGTAACTATATTAAGCACAGTGTTAAATCTTTTACAATTAAAGATGAGATTTTTTTTGAAAAAAAAGCTCTTTCTATTCTGAACTAATCGATGGGATCATACGTTGTTCAGTTTAGCAAAAGTTTGGAACAGATGGATTTAATTCGGATTAAAATAAATGGTAGCAGGGAACTGACACATACTTTCTCCCATTAGCTTGTCAAAAAACCCTTATAATGGGTAAGCAGTGGGAGTTACTTTGATATTTTGTGGGTAAAATCACAAACATAAAAATAGTGTTTGGAGAACCATCATTTTTAGATACTTGGGGTTGTACAATTTTGTTAAGAGGATTTGTTAAAAGGACCATAATTCTAAATTTGAATCAAAATTGTTTGAGCTGTTTTATGAAAATCTGATTTATGAGTTTTATGGGGAAATCACCATTACAGTAGACTCCCTCTTTTCCGCCGAGTGTAGTCCGGTTAAACCAATGTCCGGTTAAAAGGTGTCCGGATAAGAGGGAGTCTACTGTATAAAAAAAAAAAAAATTCCCTGCCCAAAAACCTGCAGACTAAACAAATTTCCATCTATCTGGCTGGAATTACACTAAATTATTCCCTTGAAATTGTCAGATTTATTTCCTATTTAAATATTATTAATTATTATTAAGTTTGCTGCTACAGGGAAGACATAACGTTTGTTTTTTATTTAAATATTGATAGCTAGTATGAAGTACCGGTAAACAAATTTTCCAAATTCTATTAAAATATGTCCATAGACAAGCAAGCTGCAACAGTTAATTTATTCTCCAAAACAATAACATTGTAATTTTAAATTTAAACTTTTTTTCTATTTTTTTCCGTAACCATTAGGCATACAAAAACGGTTCAATATACTAAATTATTTGTTTTTTTAAGTTCTACAAAATGGTTTGGAAAGAAATTGCAATTTTTTTGTTTATCTCCATAAAACCTCCCATAAACCCCTGTTCACATAGTCCGATCGTGCTGGTTCGCGAACTCGTTCAAATAAATGTAGGTTAACATATTTATACCACATTACATCAAAATCGGATCATTTTTGCTTGAGTTAACGTGCTAACGGACATATATATGAATTTGAGCGGATGGTGTTTCTGGCCTCTGGACACCTCAAAACGAAAAAGTAAATCGGACATGGGTCCAGGTCTTGCCATGAGACCTATGGTAATAGCTAGGGCGGGGCAGGACTACAAGATGCCAGACTTGCACTTTCGTGCTGCTGACACACACCGAACGAGGCGTGGCACGAAAAGTGAAAAATTTAGCCCCCATAGACCTGAAAGAAATATAGGAAGTTTTATTTCTGAGCTTCGAGCCGACTCAGCAAAATTTTTAAATTATTGTCGGATGTCAATTTTGACATATGACTTAAAAGTTGAGAGCAGAATAGAAAAACAAAATACCAACAGTCATACCTCCAGAGAAGCGGCTTCGTAAGGAATGTACTTGTATGTTGGTCCTCTATTTCCTCAGTGTTAAAACCAAGATTGAGTTATTAGTTATTCAACCCCCACTGTAGTAATAGCACTGTACAGTCATATAAATCTTGCCTTACATGTATGGATCATCAGTAGCCATACATTGTATCAGCTGTAAAATAATCCATATCAAAGTTAGCCTGTGAGAGAATAAATCACGTGACCGTGCATGCGTAGAAAGTTTTGCCCGGCAGCGACTTGCCTTGGGTATAATCTTGGATAGCTTCGCATTTTGCCCTCGGGCGTCTTATCCACACCCTGCCTCGCCTGGTCCTGTGTGTGGCGCTCCATAAGCGCCCGTACAATTCCCGTCGCACAATACGCCCCAGGGCAAAATCCCCTGTCGCGCCCTGCCCAGCCCGGTTCTGTGAGTGGCCAGCCTAAACATTATTTAAAATTACTTAAATGGAAATGTCTAAACCATATATTAGTGTTATTAGTATTGGATTCAGGCCAGTTACGTCATGTGTTTGTGTTTATGATCCATACCGGTTTATGTTCTAATATTCGTGCCGCAAACCAAAATGTTGTTTGGACCACAGGGTTAGGCTGTAGCTCTGTACACATCCACAAATACAAAAACCACTTTTTGGGGTTCAGGGAGACCCAAAACAGATATTTCCACCAAAAACTCGAGTTTTTACTAAAACAATACTTTCTCTTTAGTTCATACACTATGTGTAGGGGGAGAAGGTAAAGATTAACTTATATGTATAAAGTTGTTTGACATTGTATAATAAATGCTAGGACATCTGATAGTCAGATCTGTACATTATCACAATAACAACGCTGTGTTAATGCAACAATGGCGGAACATGGATATTATTATTATTTATAGTCTGTGAAATGGAGCTTTCATTTTCATTGTTCTTTTGACATCTTTCCTAAGCATAGGATAATAAGATGCTGCTAACTATTTTTAGGGAATAAAAACCAAACAAAAACAAGGAAAAGATCAAACATGTACAAGAAATGTGAGTGTCTACAATCCTGCGACCAGCAAGAAGTTAAAGTTATATGGGGCAGATTGAAACGGTACCGTAATCACTTTTTAAAATTTATTTTTACAAAAGTTAAGTTCAGATATATATGAAACAACTCATTTTAACTCCAGTAGGTTTATATCATCATTGAAGTGACTGATGAGACTAATCTATTTGGTTTATAGTAGAACTTTATAAAAATAAACTAATTATTATTATATGTATAACAGAATAAAAAAATGTAAGGTCACATCTGATGTGTAATGATTATCTGATTTAAACCTGATAATCTGATTACAGTATAGGACTTCTGCCCTGGAGGCTCGGGTTGAAATTTTAACATTCATTTATAAGTTTTAGCTATGTTAGACTGTTCTGCAGATGATCGTAAGAAGTGAAGTAAGTGTAGAGTAAAATATCCCATGATCTATTGAACACTCATCCTTCAGTAATCTTTACCTTAATAATCCTGGTATGTAGTCGTACAAAGCTAATAAGTTATAATGCCTTCACCCAGGAGTTTAGATCCACCTTAAGCTGTAGTTTATCCATCTAGCAAACAAAACAAGGATAGGGCTCTCAAATGAAGAGAACTTTTTTAAAGAGGTTGGTGGCCTCTTTTAACCTTGCATTTGCCCGTCCACATAGGCTGGATCTGTGCGTGGAACGTATTGTACCGATTCAAAATGAATGACCAAATGAAAATTCAAATCAAACTGAAAACGCGCGAAGGCAAGGACCAACAACGGCCAATCACGTGAGCGCGGAGGAACACCAATTTGCTGACTTGTGCGGACGTCTTTTTCTAACGGTCACTTGGGACCAAGCTCTGAGCCGCGATGTACGGAAATCTTTAAATTCTCCTTTTCAATTTGCAAAAATCACTTTTGGTAGTCGTAACGTGTATTTCGTCAACGAATCAATTGTTCGATCTCCGGAGTGCATTGATATCTAAAACCGTGAAACAGCATTTACTAAATTACGAATTGAAACAAAACGAGTCTTTAAGTTCGACGTCGACCGGCAAAATTCGTCAGATTTGACCATTTTCGTAGAGCCTATCCCAAGTACAGTGTCGTAATTATATGTTTATGTGTCGTCAAAATTGTCTTCTGTGTATGTAAGTAAATGTTTTGTGTAAATTGTATTTATATCATTAGGAGAAGCCAATCTGTCCACATTCATATTTGTTTAATCATGTTTCTTGCAGGTTTCATGTCTTAGTGTGTAAATTCAGTCACATTGCTTTAGAATTATTGCCATTTACTTATTTTAAAATACATACTGTGATACATTTGTAGATATTGTTATATTAATAATTTGGGTAAATTTTTATACCAGTTAAATTTCATATTAGTTTCGTGCTTAAATTCAAATTATCTTGTTAGGGTAATCAGCTGTCTGTCACGTAAAACTGTTACAATTTGTTCTTGCTTTAATATTTGGGTTTGAAATCACTTCAAAAATACATAAAGAGATCACTGAGAGTATTTGATTGGGTGCAAATTCAGGTTTCAATCAGAGCATTGTCCCGGTTGAAGGTTAGGTGTCAATACAGGCTACAAGGTAGGCTTCCATTAACGCCATAAAAATCATACTTTTAACTTAAATTAAACAAACGACTCAGTAGTCGTTTTGGTCCAGTTTGCTACTGAGCAACAAAGTGTGCTGTACACAGATCTACGAATAGCCCCTTTGCACATAAGATCAACTGGCCAGTTGTAAGTAAATACCATACTTTGGGAAGCCTAATAGCCTAAAACAGATTGAATAAATTAAACCTAGGTTCCCGAGGCTCTGCTGTCAATATTTCAGGAAGGAAAGTCAAAAAGACCACAATCAATACTCTCTCACATTAAATTGAAGTGTAATTAGTAGAAATTAGAATATTATTAATTATAGCTGAAACTTGAATATTATTAATTTTAGCAGAAACTTGAATATTAATATTGATTATTTGTAATATTTGTATTATTTATAGTGATAATACACAAAGCTTATTCTTTCATCAATTTTATTAATTCTCCTGTGTTAATCTTTTCAAGGTAATCGGCTTAACCGAACAATTGCAATAAAGTACAGTATCATTAAGTAGTCAATTGACACATAATTTATTATATATTGGTTCATCAATATTTCGCATAATCGTTTCAATATTTCAGAGTCAAAACCAATGTTTTAACAAAGTTTCAACAAAGAGTGTAATTTTGCATTCAGAATATTTGATATACTTTTTATTGCATCTTAAGAAGTGTTACGTTTAAGATTATTGAAAGCACTTTCAGGAGGACATATCAGACCTCTCAACGGTCCATAAATCGGACTTCTGGGATACACAATTATCAGGGCTCAATACAACATCTTACTTCCACTGCCGGCTCTGTGATTGGTCCTCAGTTGTCTGATCAACTAAATTAAATTCATTGAAACCCCACCAGGGGGCAACTTTTTGTTGTACTCACACCTATATGGAATAGCCAAATTGCATTACATAAAGGTGTGAGGCGATTTTAGTGATGGAATGATCAATTAATGTAAAGAGTATATTTTGAAGTAATAAGTAAGTAAAGAACGTTTATTTTTTTCTTTACAAAAAGTGATAGCACTAATATTGAGAGGTCTGGTAACAAGGCAGATTGGCTCTTCTACGGACAGATTGGCATAGATAAGATTGATATTGACCCTCAGAATCTTGTTATCTTGTCACTTGTTATCTTTAAGACAGATTATACCCGTTCATATTGCAGTGTTTACTTGGTTATTTATTATCTGTGTATATTTGTCCGTGATTGTTTATATTTATTTATAGGGGAAATTGAAACATTTTGTGAATTTATAAAACTGAGGTCGATTGCATTTTTGCGAATTTGATTTCAAAAAAAAAAAACTTTGCAATTCAAAATGAGACGTCAATTGTACGGTCCCAATTACGTAACTACGGCAAGCGATAGGGCTCAGAGGATGGCAAGCAGGCGTCATGTGTCAGACGAAGGGCTTGTGTCCGGTAGGGTTGGTGCGTCACACGCAGAAACAGGAAACGTTCGTAGCAATCATGTCTCTCCCCCCCCCACCGATTCGTTCCGCGCTGGTCACGTCACATTTGTAGGAGAAGAAGTAGAGCGTATTGCGAACAATGTAGTCGGCGATTTGAACATGTCGAACAGTGATTGTTTGTTGGATTTAGATAATGACGTGTTGGAACAAGCTGTGCACTCACGTTCGCATCTCACTTTTGATTCGACCGCAACAGAATATGTCACGATTGATGAGGGAACCTTTCGAGATCGACGATCGTCAATTCGCGCGATTGAACCAAGGGTTGAAAACAATGCAATGTCTTCGAATTTCACATCGTCTCCTCGTGCAGCGAACCACGAACAAATTCGTTTCGTAGCTCCAGTACCGGCGAATCAATTGCAGGGTAACTTCGTTCATCAGGGATTGTCAAAAACAGATTCTATTGTAATAATGGAACTTTTGAGGAAGTTGAAGGACGTCGATGCATCGAATGAATTTGAGTTGGTTACATTCCTTAAAGATTTAATGCCGATTTTTAACGTATCTCCGTCCCACGACAATGAAATAATTAAGTTGCTCTTACCAAAGGTCAAAGGTCAGTTGTTTCAGTTATGGATTGAGTCCGTAAGTGCTCAATCAGGGTGGAATAATTTGCACGTCGAAATTCTAGACAGATTTATCCCATCAATGCGACGAAGAGAAATAGAGTCAATAGAGTTAGATCGTCCACAACGCATCGAAGAAACTTTCTCAGATTATTGTGAACATTTATTATCTACTGCGTTTGCTCTTAAAACAAACTTGTCTGAAAACGACGTCATAGAAATAGCGCTGAATAAATGTAGGCCGGAAACAAAGTCTCATTTTTCGTTCGATTCTAGGCCACACACAATTCAAGAACTTCGTAGACTAGCTACAAGAGTCACAAGTGCCGTCAGGGCGGAAACTCGATATTTTGGACCGACGATTTTCACACCACAATTTCACACACCCCCACCCCAAATTATTCCTTCTCAGAGACCCCGACAACCTTTTCCCCGTCGTAACGACTCCAACGATCTTAGGAATAGACCCGCCGAAAGAATCATAAAATGTTTTCGTTGCAATCAGGAAGGACATTTAGCCAGAAACTGTAGGAGCTCTTTAAACTGGTAAATGACATCGACGAGGGGGCCCGGTGTCATACAAAACTCGCGACCATCCCCAACAAAAACAAAATGGAAGCCGTAGATTTAAGTGGTAAGTTGCCATTTGCGCATGTTACGTTCGACAGCTCATTAAAATGCATTGCTTTGATCGACTCTGGTAGTAGTAGGTCATTAATTAGTAAAGAATTATTCAATATGTTGAAAGATAAACAACTGGTGTCAAATGTAAATAAGGTAAGTCATTCTATGGGTACTGCGTCACAGCACAAAATCACCGTCAGATACGAAGCTACAATTCATTTGAAGTTAGGCGATTTTTCCTGGAACTACGAATTTTGGGTTGTGAATCAACTGCCGTTCAAAATGATTTTGGGTTATGACTTCATGACTTTCACAAGGATGTCCATAGATTTGAATAAGTCAATAATAAAATTCAACTTTGCTGACAACGAACACTCTCTTTGTTTAGTAGGCGACGATGAGATTCCGCGTTGCGAAAAACAAGATTTAGGCGATTCTCCCCTCACTCCTGAACAGAAAACAAAATTTGACGATTTATTATACAGCTTTAACGACGTCATATCAAATAGAATAGGCACAGCGAAAACAGAACCGTATAAAATCAAGTTCAGCGATAACATCGTTCCGTTTCGTCAGAGACCTTATCATTTACCACCAGATAAGATGGTTATAATGAGAGAGACAATACAAGAGTTATTAGATCAAGGTGTCATTGAGAAAAGTGTTTCTGAATTCAGTTCTAGTGCATTTCTACGTCCAAAGAAAGAAGCTGGTAAGTATAGGCTAGTTGTCAATTACAAGGAGCTAAACAAATACATCGAAATGGATAGTTTTCCGCAGCCCGAAGTTGATAAAATTTTTCAAT